TCAAAATAATCATTTACATTTATTTACAATTAATATTGGAAAAAATAATACAGGATTATTTCTTGGTTATGGAAATGGAAGTTTTCAAGATGGATTAATGAATTCAACTGGATCATCGTCATCAACTTCATTTGTTTTATTTGATTTAAATAAAGATCATCGATTAGATGCAATTATTGTTAATAATGATACGGGAAATATTAATATTCTTCATGGATATTTTCAAGGTTTTCCTATTCCTATAAAATTTAATATTAAATCTGCTTCATGGTTTATAATTAATCATGATTTAAATCATGATAAAATATTAGACTTGATAGTTACTAGTGACAAAAATGATATCATAATTTGTCTTGGATTTGGTGATGGATCATTTACACGTAAAGTAACATATCAAACTGTTTATCATCCTCAACATGCAGCTGTTGGAGACTTTGATAACGATGATAATGTCGATATAGTTGTTGTTAATGCTCAAGAAGCTTATATTTATATATACTTTGGAAAAGGTGATGGTACTTTTCCAACTATCAGAACATATTCAACTTATTTTTATCCATATTTTGTCGCTGTCAATGATTTAAATAATGATAATCAATTAGATATTGTTATTGTCGATCATTTTTATACTGATAATCAATTATATACTGTTGATATCGATCATTTTTATGATGATACTACGAGTGTTTTTCTCGGTTATGGCAATGGTTCTTTTGCATTCCCTATGATCTATTTAACTGGCTTTGGACCACGATCTATGTCTATAAGTGACCTGAATAATGATGATAATCTTGATATAATTGTTACCATTTATTTTAGCAACACTATAAATATATTTTATGGATATGGGAATGGAAGTTTTCATGAGCAAATCATATATCCAGTTGATGATTATTACCCATATTTTGTAACAACTGCTCATTTTAATAACGATACTTTTGTGGATGTTGTTGTTACTTTTTATTATAGCCGAAGCGTATGTATTCTTCTGGGCTTTGGAAATGGTTCTTTTGAACAAAAGGTGACATATGAAGTTGATTTGTATCCACTATATGTAGAAATTGGTGACATGAATAATGACACATATTTAGATATTATAGTTGCTTGTTCGGATTCAACAAGTATCTATATTTTATTTGGATATGGAAATGGTTCATTTAGTGATGCACAATCATATTATACAAATATGGGTTCATATGCTGTAACTATTGGTGATTTTAATCATGATCAACGATTGGATATAATTGTACCAAATGTAAAGAGTAATTATATAGGAATATTACTACAAAATAACAAAGGTATCCTTAGAAATCATTTGACTTATGCATCAGGTGGAAGTTCAAAATTACGATCAATGTTGATCGAAGATATAAATAATGATACTTATTTAGATCTTATCACTGCTAATTATGGTACTAATGATCTTACTTTTCTTTTTGGTGATGAAAATATGAATTTTCAGAATGAAATAAAGATTAAATTGAATACAAATTCTCATCCATCATCAATTACTTTTGGTTATTTTAATTCTGATCGACAATTAGATATTGCCGTAGTTCTTGTTGATTCAAATCAAATTGGAATGTTACTTGGAAATGGAAATGGTTCATTCATTCTTCAAGATACTTTTCAGAATTGTTCAATATCTCCTCCTTTGATTGTTTCAGCTAATGATTTTAATGATGATGGACAATCAGAAATTGTTGTTGTATATGATCAAAGTGATTCAATTGATATGTTCAGCACATTTAATAGAGGAACTTTTGTAATTTCACATAAATATCCACTTGGTGTAGCTCCAATAAATGTAGTTGTAGATTATCTTAATAATGATAGTTATATTGATATTATTGTTGTTGATTTGACGTCAAATGATATGAGAATTTTTTATGGAAATGGAAATGGAAGTTTTACAGGTCCATCGATCTATTCAACTGGTAATAGTCCAGTTTGTGTCGCAGTTGGTGATTTTAATTCTGATTATCGATTAGATTTAGTTGTTGGAGATTATGATTCTACATTCTATATATTCTTAGCAAATGATAATGATAGTTTTTCAAATTCAACTGCTTATTCAGTTGACTCTCCCGTCCAACATCTAGCAGTTGGTGATTTTAATGAAGATAATCGATTAGATCTTGTTGTCATCACTTCTAGTGAAAATATCATTCTATTTCAAGGGTTTGGTAACGGTTCTTTCTCTTTAAACGAAATAAAATATCAAACTGGCGACGATCCAGAATTTATAATTGTAGCTGATTTTAATAATGATTCTCATTTGGATTTTGGTGTTGCTAATTTTGGTAGTGACAATGTTGGTATTTATCTTGGTTATGGAAATGGTTCTTTTACTAAACAAGTAACATATTCGGTTGGTTTCTACCCAGGTTCATTAGCAGTTGCAGATCTAAATCATGATAATCGATTAGACATTGTTGCAACTACAAATCTTCCAGGAACAGTCACTGTCCTCCTTGGCTATGGTAATGGATCCTTTTCATATCCAAAACTCTTTTCAGTTGGTGAGATTCCAAAATCTGTCGCTATCGGTGACTGTAATAATGATAATTATCCAGATATTATTGTCGCTAATAAATATAGCAACTCCATAAGTGTTTTGTTAGGATATGGTAATGGTTCATTTCGTACTCAAATAGAATATACAAATGTTTTGATGCCAATCTCTATAGCAGTTCATGATTTTAATAATGATAATCAACTTGATGTTGTTGTTGCAAGTTTCGAAGATGTAAATTTAATCATTATGTTTGGTCATTCAAATTTCGTTTTTGAAAAACAAACAACACTCTTAACTGATACTAATTCTCAATCTCGATCATTTGTAATTAATGATTTTAATAATGATCATTATATGGATATTATTGTAGCTAATTCAGGTACAAATAATATTGGTATTTTCTATGGATATGGAAATCTCACATTTACAAATCAAATAACATATTCAACTGGTAATAATTCACATCCATATTCTGTTGCTGCAGGTCATTTCAATGCTGATAAACAATTAGATCTTGTCACTGCTAATTTTGGTTCTGATACTATTAGTATTTTTCTTAATAACGATAATAATTCATTTTCAAATCAAACAACATATTCAACTGGTTCATCTTCATCACCTTATTCTGTTGCTGTTGGATATGTAAATAATGATAATAAATTGGATATAGTTGTTATAAATTATAATAATAATAAAATTGGAATATTTCTTGGTCATGGTGATGGAACATTTGATGATATAATATTATTTGCAATGCCATATGGATCACATCCAACCTCACTAGCCCTTGCTAATTTTAGTCTTGATGGAAAATTGAATATTGCCGTGATAAATAATGGCACAGACAGCTTGAGTCTTTACTTACAACCTTGTTAATTGACTTTTTATCAATCTATATTCTTGATAAATTTTGTTAATTTAAAATCGATATCTCTGTCCTAGTTGAACATCTTATAAGCAAGATCTTGAAAAGACTAAAGTGACATCATTAATATTTAAAAATAAGGAAAAAATTCTAATTAATTGTCCAAAAGCATACATAAATCATATGAAATCAGACAAATATATTGGAATTCTTTTTTACCGTTCTCATGTGTATTGACCAATAAAAAAACACAGACAATGAACACAAACGAATCCTCATTTATTCGATCGATAATATTTTAAAACTTAATTAATCCATTTCATATATGTTTATTTACGATAATATACTATCTTTTTTTCAGATATTCATCACTCAATCTGTTTAGTATTTATTATTGATAGATATAAAAATAGTCGATTAAACGATCTATTCATCATCGTGTTTTGATCTAGTGTTGAATTACACGACGAATGTCAATTCAATCCAAAACTATTAAAGACTTATTGTTTTTGTTTTATTCTTTTTCTAATTTCTGTGTTATATATTTTTCATGTATTGTTCTTGTGTGGAATTTCTCTTGAAAATTCCAGTTGTTCACATAATTGTTTGTATACGTTTTCGAAATAATAGTAATTTTTTGGTAAAATTTAATTTATATGATGAAAATAAAAAGAATATTGTATTAAATACAAAATCTGATGGTTAAGATCTCAATTGTCGTTAGCCAAGATATTGAAAAATCCTACGTAAGATCTAATTCAAGATCTTATGTACAAGATGTTCGACTAGAGTGGTAAATCTTTATATAATGTTATTTATAACTTAATGAATTTACCCACGGGATATATTCGAAATAATTGAATTATCACACTTGAAAGAATCTGCTTCTTGTTATGTTTATTTAAATTGTAATAAGTATATTTATTCATTACTAATGTGTCTTACTTGGCATGATGTATGCAATAGAAAAATCGACTGTCTTAATAATATAATTGATGAAAAAGATTGTTTTGAACTTGAATTAAATCAATGTGATGGAATGAAAAAGTTTCGTTGTTATAATGAACAATGTATTCCATTGGAACTTTTCAATGATAATTCACAATTTCCTGATTTTCTTGATCGTTTTGATGAACTGTTTCATACTTCGCTATCATGTTATACAGAACCGTCAATGCGTTGTGAAGATCATCGATGTAAATTCGATTCTATAAATACAAATTGGGGCAATGGAGATTGTCATGATATTGATTGTCCTAATGGACAAACTGAAAGATGAAGAATTTCTTTAACTTCAAAAGCAAATTCTCTTTCGCCAAATGGACCCTGTTGGTTGATAATAAATCATCTTTCATATATTTATTCATCACGGAAAATGATATTCTCATGAGTGCCTTTAATCAAAATGGAATAATTAATGTAATTCGACAATATTGTCCATTCATATATGTTCATCCAACTTATCCCATAGTTTTAAGTCATATTTATTATGTTTATACTAAAAACCAACCATATATTAATGAACATACTTTATTTGCTTTATCAACTTATATTTGTTATAATGAAACACTATGTCCATCATCAGAATTTAATGCATCATTTCCACCATCTGTTCTAATCGATAAGAATTTATCAGTTTAAAATCAAATTGTCGCGACAAAATCATTGCA